GGGCCGGAGCCTCGCCGGCGGCCGGCCGTCCCCTCGCGCCGCCGGTGCCTCTCGCCGCAGGTCGCCGCCTCCTCCGCCGCCTGCGCCTTCTCCTCCCCCTGCTCGCCCGGCGCCGCCGCCGTCCATGCGCCGCAGAGCCCCCGCGGCCCGGGCCGCTCCGGCTCCCGAGACATGCCCAGCGCGGAGACTGGCGACCGGCGGCGGCGGCGGCGGCGGAGGAGGAGGGGGAGGAGAAGGCGGCGGGGGGGAGGCCGCCGCGCGGCCCCGCGGGCAGCCCGGCCCAGGGCCCCGCCGCCTCCGGGTTCTCACCCTCGCGCGCCGCCACACCTCCCCCGCCCCCCCACTGTCGTCCCCCACCGCCGCCACCCGGAGCTGGCCTGGTGGCAGGTGGGGCACACACCCTCGCGGCGGGGGGCGGTCGGGGCCTAGGCCGGGAGGGGCGGGGAGGGGGAGGACACGCGGGGGTTCCCAGCTTGACCGCTGTGAAAGTATTTCTGGGCATTTTCCAGCTGCTTTGCTCCAGAGCGCTCTCTCGCACGCAGACACACCCCCCCCTTCTCTCTCCCGACACTCTCTCACTCCCCGTCTCTCTCTCTCCGTCTCTCTCCCCTCTCTCTCCCTCTCTCTCGCTGGCTCGCTCTCTCTCGTTGGGGGACTGGGAAGCTCGGCTGCCAGCGCAACAACGCCACTCAGTTGCAGTTGCGAACACTTCCCTTCTCGGGAGTATGTCAGCCCGGGAGAAAGAGGCGGAGAGGAACTGGGAGGCCACGGAAGCGGCCTCGGACAGGACACCGTCCCGGGAGCTCCTTCCGAGACCGTGGAAATAAACGCGGGTGGGCGTGCGCTGACCAAGACCGGGAGCCACGAGAACCCTGTGGGCTAGCGCAGCGGCTGCACAGGCACCTTATGGCTCCGGCGCTCTCGCCAACATTTCCTGACCGGAGCATCTGCATTATTCACCCGCATACATGTCTGCAGACCCAGGGGTTCACAGGTGAATCCCCAGGAGTTTCAACGCAGTTAGATACAAATGCCTGCCTGTCCCCACTCGGCTCCTGGCACCTAAGACCGGACCGGACTACGGACATCTCTCTGTGGTTTCCCCAGTTTACAGCTCAGCGAGGCCTAGAGAAAGGGCCACTCAATGAAGGGCCAGTGCTGGAATCCTATTACCTGGGTAGACCCTGGTCAGAGCGTCCCCTCCACTAAACCTTGCTCTGCCGAGTGTGGGCAGCTTTTTAGGCAGAGACTTGGGTCAGTCATGTGTCAACCAGGAAAGCAGAAAGGACTCCCAGTGCATTTCCACTTTGAATAAATGAGAGAGCCACACGGAAAACATCACTCCTATGCGAGGCTTTGCATTTTACTTTAAACTTAAGAAAAGAAGAAGAAAAAAAAAAAAGACCTGAAAGGGGTCCCATTCGGTCCTACCGGTGCAGTAAAGTGTGGCTGGGAGTTGGAAACTTTGAAAACACAAGTGTTTTTCGTTGCAGAGGCGTTTAATCTGCATGATGGTGTTTGAGTTCTCTTTGGAGTACACTCTACAGGTAGAAGATGAGAGTGATTGAAAAATGAACTGAAGTGGAGAGTACAAGATATTGAGTACAAGATATACATGGGCTGGCAGGGAGGGGGAAAAGTTGCCGGTTGGAAGTTTTGGCTCCAGGACAGCCAGCCTAGGGTGTTTCTGCCCAAAGATGACAAATGAGAGAAGTTCTGTTCTCCCAACAGGCCACTCTTGCTGGAAAAAGCCCCCTACTACTGTCACTCCCTCATCAGACTCCCCAAAAGCACTTAATGCAGAAATACATTTTGATAGAATGATGTGTCACCATTCACTTTAGCAAACATATCCAGCTCTTAAAGTGAAAACTAAATCTGCCCCTCAAAGCCTCTGAAGCCTATCATGCTGGTGGCCCGATGAAGAAGTGCCAGAGGACGGGGGACTCATGACTCAGATCCTCCCTTAAACATTTGGCTCACTCTCCTGTCCCCAAATTAACAAAAATTAAAGGCAGTAACAGGTGTCATCTGACTAATGAAACCAAAGAAAGGTCCATTTCCCACAGCTAGCACCTTCTCTTCAGTCATTATGACTGAACATGAAAAAGGAGGAAGGAAATTATACACTCAAAGGCTAAAGTTGATTATTTTTAAAGCTCTAGTCTTTAGAACCACAGTGGGATTCAAAGACTTGATAAAGTAGCCCAGATTCAAAGATGAAGGTGGAAGGCATCAGTTGGCTTTTCAGGGTGGGAGGCTATGGAGGATTCCCCCTGGAGGCTCCTGGCTTATTGGGAAAATTAGCCCTGGGAAGATCTTTGTGGTGAAGGACATCAACACTCTGAGGGCAAACCTAAAGGCTGAAAATTCACGACCACCTCTTATGTTCCATTTATATCTCATGGATTAGTTGGAGGTCTCTGAAATTGTCCAAAGGCCATCTGACATTTCTGGCCCTTGACTCCCTAGGTCACAACCATAGTATTGTGACTATTGCTTGCACCTCCTAGGTAAAGTGACCACCAGATTATATTGTCATTTAAATGTTTTGTGAGTGACCAAAAAACCTTACCTGAACCATGAAAAGGAAAAATCTAATTCTTGTCTAGTCCTTTATGTTTGAAAGATTCCCAGATCTTTTGTATTAAAGGTTCTTGTAATCACTGAAGTAAAACAAGACTAAAATAATTTAAATTAAAAAAAATCCTTTGACCAGAAATAGCCTGTTTTTTGAGTTATTTTCTCAAGACTCTCTTTTTAAAACTTGTGACAGTACCCAGAGCATATAATGAAGTCTTCTACAGAATATTTGCAGTCCTGGGCATCAACTTGGAAAACACTCAGTGTGTTATGCAAAATCTGCTCTGGTCGCTGGGCCATTGGTTAGAAAGCACAAAATATGGCAGTGATAGATTATCTTAACCTTTTCAGTTTAAACACTGTTGGTTCAAATCAAAGGTTCTCAAATCAATGAAGTTTGAAATACAAGGTAAAAATAGGAACTGTTATTTGAATTATGCATTGTGTATATTTTAAGTTAAATGCCATTGGCAAATCTCTCAGATATTTAATCGTGTGCAATCTGGGAAACACAAATATTTAATTTCACACTTTCACGTGTTTTTTCTTCCTTCTTCTCTAAAACCGAGCCCCACAAATCGGAAGCTTACCTTTCATACTACATTGTTAGTTTTTCTCAACACATTTTTGTGGATTACATTTTTGATAAAATATTGGAAGATTACAACTTGTTCTTAAGGAAAAACTTTAGGGTTCTAGAGCTGTTGGTGGTAGTATATCCCCCCCCACACACACACACTTCCTTTCCTAATTGCATCAAAGAATGTTTACTAATTCAATGTCACAACTCTATTTTATTAAATATCTATAAATGTTTGGGAGAAATGCAAACAAGTAATACTTTAAAACTTCTTTCTCACCCACCTAGCCTAACTTTGTAAAATTTGCTTCCTAACTCGCATCTCTGAATCTGACGCATTTGCATTATAATGCATTTAAGATGAATACTTAACAGCGCCGAGGAGACTCGGATTTCATGCTGTATTTCCCTGTAGTAACAGGTGACATGATAACACTATTATGTAGAATTGCGAGTCTACAGCTACACGTGAAAATCGTTCCTATTCTGTTTGGAAACAAATGATCAATCAGTCTCCCGTGATCAATTGCCCCCCTGGCTGCCGGTCAGCGCGGGTCCGCACCCGGCAGAGGCAGTGAGAAAATTCCGCGGAAGGGGACAGGGATCCCAAACTTTGCAAAAGCACCTTGTGCTTGTGTCTAAGACTTCGCTGCAACTCCTAGGCTACGCGGGGCTGGCGTTCTGGGTTTGGGGCCAAGCAGAGGGCAAAGGATGATTTCACTTCGCCAGTAAACTGGAGTGCCTTTCAATCCGAATTGTGAATTAATTTTTTCTTTCTCATCTGTAGAACGAGGAGCAAGCGAAGTGAGCCCTGACGATGTGCATGTGTGTTGTAACGCATAAAACAGGAGGCAAAGTGAGTCCCACCCCAGCACCCCGGGGCGGGGGCACTAACCCAGCCCAGGCGGGACTACTCACCGCTGCTGGTAGGAGGTGATGCCCTGGACGTTCTGCGGGGTGCCGTTGGCCGCGGCGCCGGCCCTCCCCATGCCCGCGCCCGCCGGCACCCCCGCGGCCGCCCCGCCGGCCGCCGCGGCCGTCACCTGCACGCTGAAATCCGGAAAGATTCGGATCATCGCCGCGGCTTCGGCCCCCGGGCGCGGCGGCTCTGGGCGAGAGCTGGCGGGGGCTCTGGTTTGGGCTCCGGCGGCGGCAGCAGCAGCAGGGCGAGCAGCGGCGGCGGCAGCAGCGGAGCCAGGCACCAGCCTGCAATCCCATTAGTGAGCCGCGGCCACTGTGCGCGGCGGAGAGGCGCTTTGATGTGCGCGCAGCGGGCTGGGGTGGGGGGGCCGCGAGCACTAGGAGGAGGTGCGGGGGGGGGCGTGCGAGGGACTTGCAAACAGCAAAACGTGTCAGGGTGGGGCCTTTTTTTCCCTTTTGGGGGGCGGTGGTGCTCCCCCCTCTTTCCAGGATGTTGCTCTCACTGGCTGCTCCGGCTGCGCGGCGCGAGCCCAGCTGAGGGAAGAAGGGGAGGGGTGGCGGAGGAAGGATGCACCGGGAGGCTTGGCGAGGACTTGGCCGGTGCAAGGGAATGACGGGCAGCGGAGGGTGTCTTTCTTTCCCGCCCCCTCTACACACACACACACACACACACACACACACACACACACACACCGCGCACTTCCGACCCAAAGTGCAAGACTGAGGCGCGCTCTCTCCCCTCTTTTCTCTAGAGAAATAACCACCATCCAAGCAGGCTCGCGCCTCCCGCAGCTTCCAGCAACCTGGACTTCAGCCCGCGTGTGCAGGAATGGGGGCGCAGACCTTCCTCTCCCACCCGGGACCCCTCTCTGCCAGTCTTCTGCACACCAGGCGGCGCGGGGGTTGCCAATTGCAAGTTGGACTACTGGAGAACTTGCTTATCGAGGAGGGATGGTGTGCAAAGGAAAAGGGGGGCGGGCGGAGAAGCCGCTTTTGTGCAATGGAGAGTTTGTTCCCTTTATCAAAAGGGACTCTGCTTGCTCCTGGTGGGCGGGCAGGTTAGTCTTGGACAAACTTGTGAGCTGGAGAGTGTAGGTCCAGCTAGAGGGATCCGGGTGTGCTCCCGATGACCCATCTCTACACGCCCTTTTCAAACGTTGAAACGAATAAATTAGCAGCCACAACTGAGGCGAACTCTGCAAATTCCAACCACCAGGGAAACAAAAAGAGAAAACACGTGCATTTATTTCCTCGTGTCTCCCAGTTACTTCTCTGCATTGTTACATCGGTATTTCTTAGGGTGTGAGGAGGGATGCTAGTGATTTCGGCGCGCCTTTTTAATGACAACTTGCACCCCTTCGGGCCCGATTAGTAGGTGGGGGCAGTGGGAGTGGATCGTTTCCCCACCCCCTGCCCAGGACCCCCTGTTGCCCCACTTCCTCCCTCTTTCTTCCGGCTTGAAAGCCGGGACCGGAGTTGCGGGGCAGAGGGGCGCGTCCCTTGCGGGACGCGGGGCTCTGTAGGGCTCCCTTCCTCTTGCACGCACCCACCCGCGACCCACTTTGCTGGTGCTGATGTGGTTCTCCCCATCTCGTTTTCTCCTCTCCCCGCGCGCGGAAGCTCCGGCCCGGCAGCCGGGGTGCGAGCGGCCGCCGCGCCCGCCGCACGAACCCAAGTTGGGCTCGGCGGAGCATGGTGACCGCGGCCGCGCCGCCCCGGCTCTCGGCCAATAGCGCCTCGCCGGGCGAGACACCTGCTTAACCCTTTGAGCCTGGGGCGCAACCGGCCGGCGGGGACCCAGAGGGGCAGGGCGGATTGGCCAGAAGTTGCCAAGGCCGAGGGCGGCAGCCTGCCCAGCCCAGCATTCCCGCACACGGGCTAGGGGCCAGACCCCTGCCCTAGCTGTAGAGCTGGACGTCCCCTTCCACCCTCGCGGCTCTCGGGAAGCACAGAGCCGCACAAAGGCCCATCCGCGCCCCAGCAGCGTCCCGCGCCTGCCTAGGCAATCTCTGCACTCCCCTAACCCGAGTCAGTTTCCGGAGGAGCCTCCCGCGCCCGGCAGCCACAGGGAGACAGAGGGAGGGAGCCCCAGCTCTCGCTGGCCGGGCCCACGGCGCAGCTGCGTTTCCATTTTCCTCTCAAAGAAAATGCTTTGGACGGCAGATAATACCAAGAGATATGAAACTGCTTCGTCCCCCACATGTTGCACGTAAAAAGAATCGTAATGAGCATCTGCGGCGTGTGCTAAGGATCCCACGAGTTAGTTGAAGACCTAACCCAGGTCCTGACTCCTTCCTTCCTTCCTGGAAAGGGGTCATTCTCTAGTTTAACGGCATTTCATTCGGAGATACTTGCTTTTCAGAGGCCAAACTCAAGGTCATTGAACGGAGTGGGGGTGGGTGTTGAGAGAGTGGATGGTCTGAGTACATGGAAAGCCGCCTTGTAAGGATCTGGTCACAGATGTGGGTCCCTGTAGGAGCACCGCGGCCAGGAGATGCTGATTGACTTGGTTTCTGAGCCCTCTCCTCTTCCATCTCTCATCCTCAGGGCCGGATCTTAAGCGAGAGATCTCAAAAAGCATCCCTTGACTCCAAGCTGGCTTTCCAGGTGAAAGAAATGGGAGTTCATTGCAATTCGAGAGAGGTCAAGAATGTTTCAGGGGTTGGGAAAAGTTCTCCTCTGACTGCAGAGGTCAAGGCCGGCCAGCAGTACTGTAGACCAAAGGAAGCCAAGTAAAATGGCTGAGGAATCGGGCTAAAAATGAACACAGATCCAGGCCGTGGCTTTCTATAAAATAGAATTTGTCTGAATTATTGGCCCATTGTGGGGTGATGCTGTGCCTGCCACCTGATATCTAGGTCAGCCAGTTGATGGAGGCTTCCAGCAAGCAGGTCCAGCTTCCATGTGTGCTTTGACTCCAGTAGATAATGCAATATTCCAAGCCAGATCCCATTGATCCAGAGGCATTCCCAATGTGCCAAATGATGCCAAAGGGGGGAAACCCTCTTTGGCCAAAAGAGCAGAATCTTTAGATTACTTTCCCTTTTAAAGTCTTTCTGCACAACCAACAGTGAGTTATATTTATAAACAATATCCCAGTTCTTCTTTGTTTCAGTACAATTCTATGAACGGAAAAAAAACAGTGATTATACTTTATGGACTACTTATTTTACCAAATAGCTGGTCTGGAAATTTGTGGTCCTGCTTCACTTCCCTTCTGGAGGGCAAGTTTTTCTTGAAAGCCTAAAGGGCAAAAGTGTCCCAATAGAAAGAATGTGTGAGATCTGTTGTTAGACATTTAAGACTAGACTTGCTGAAGCTCACTTCAATTCTACTTTATATTATTAAAAGCCAAGTTTAATGAGTACATTCAACTTCAAAGTTCCAAGCTGTCAACGCCATATTTAAGAGAATATATCTCCTGCCCTCCAGAAACTTTCTTTTCTAAAATAGAAATACACAGAATACTTGAAGAAGACTTGCACAGTAGGTTACCTTAGAATGCATATAAATCTGTTTTCAATATTTTGTCTTTAAATGTGTAAGTCCAGAAGTTTGGTTTGCATGCGTGAGAGACAAATTTCTTATTGGACCTGCTTATCTCCATGTTCATTGAGGACCTTAAGCAAAATATAAGTTTATTCACTCATTAGTAATTCAGATTTCATTACTGTATTCTTTCAGTTAAAATCTTTACATGCTGGCAGCTGTTTTGAAATATTTTGAAAGTTGTTTTGGCACTCATCCAACTAAAAGGGCTCCAGTTAACATTAAACTGGATACTTTCTCATTTTATATTCTCCCCCCCCCGAAATCTACATATTAGTGTATGTAGAGATCTAGAAAGACTTTACGATGTTTTAACCCTCAATACGTACATATGATATATACACAGCTATCACAATTACATATTTACATCTTCATCCTTGTTGTCACTGTAAAACTACGCCTTTTTCTCATGTGATAAAAATATCTATTCTCTGGAAATTCATTTCCATGTACTTAGAGTTAAATGGTTTGACTTTGAATTTTTACTACTGCCTGTCAGAAGCTACCAAGGAATGAGGGGCTATACAGATTGATTGTATCTAATGTTTGTGTTACTTTGGTCAGATATTTAAGAGGAAAATAAAACAGTACATAGAGATTAGGATAATATAAAGCAAAACAAAATAAATAGAAAGAAAATATAGTATGTCATGAATAAGGTAAGAGATGTTTTACTCTGAAATGTTGAGTGTTTTAGCAAAGTGATCACAATGCAAAGAGAGATTTTCTTTTTCTATTTAAAAAAAGACAAAACAAAAACAAAACCTCCTGTTATCATTTACTACAATCTGTGAGATGAGTCTTCATTGTAGGAAGAGACATGAGTTAAAATGAAGATCCCTCCATACCATGGGAAGGAGATCTTACATTCTGTAGAGGGGTTAAATATTTGATTTAAACAATTTTCCATCTTTGCTCCTCAATCCAAACTGAATTCAAGCTCTTACTGCTAAATTTGCCATGCTATTAATATGTCCTCTAGTCTGTTCAAAAGCAAGACTATAATGTCAGGGGAGGAAAAAAAGTAACATAAACTTAGCAATATACACTTTCTGGATATTCCAGAAGAGAAACGAAGGAATTAAGAGAGAATATCTAATAAATCATTATTTATAATATATGTATGTTCATATATAATATATAAGGAGAGGACTGAGAATTTTTCATATTAATACTACCTATATCAAATACTGAATATCTCAAGCTATTATGCTAAACTAATTCTCAGAGGACTTTATAAATATATAGCTAGAAAGGGAAGAGATTTAGTTAAGAGAGGAAATCCTTTAGCTATTTACTAAATTCAGCAGCAGACAGTAAGGGAGGAGGAATTGTTTTAAAAAATTAGTGAGTAGGAAAGGTTCTCAAATCCTTATGCTTTTTTTTTTTAGTTATAATATTCACATTGTGGCGCATATTATTCCAAAATGTCTGCAAATCAATTGAATCTAATATTTGTAATTTTGGAGGGGAATATTTAAAATCTACCTGTCATTATAAAGGAATCACAAATGTTGGTTCTAGTTGTTTCTTCTGTCAGCATGATTAGAATTTGCACAGAGCCCCTAAGTGTGTGTGGGTTGGTACTTGCACCACAGGTCCAGAGGCCATGCACCTTTGTATTTCAGTGAAAATTATACCTAGTGCTAACTGGAAATTTCATTTGTTTGCTTTGGTTCCTCCAGGTAGGCATATTTATTTAGCCAATGGACTCTTTTCTTCACTGAATTTTTGAGTGAATTTAATCATTATTAATTCAGTGACGGGTTGTTTGAAGGAGTGGCTATTGTTTTGGATTAATTTTTTTTTTCCAAAATAAAAACAACCATGCTAGATGAGTTTGTGCTTGAATTTTTCATTTTCTATAGGATATTTTATAAACCTAATCACACAGCAAATCAAACGAATGGTTTTATTATGCTCCATGCTGAGTCAACCATTCTGTTTCTATTAAACTGCTAGGTTTCTTCACTTAGAAGAGTGATTCTGGAACTTTCGTGTGCATTAGAATCACAATAAAAACATATTAAAATACAGATTTCCGGGCCTTACCTTTACAGAATCTTATCCAATAAGGGGGTGGTGGTGAGGGGAGGATGCTAAT